TAAGATCTTGAACTTTTTCTCAGAGACATCCCAGAGAGGGGGAATTCTCTCTCCTCCCCCTCCCTCCACTATTCCAGCATTAAGGCCTATTCTTTGCCAGTCAAGGCTCTGGTCTCTTTCCCATGCCAAGCTGGAATAGCTGCAGAGAGAAGTGAGACTAAATAGGAAGAGATATATCAGCAGTAGACTTAAGTAATCATTAGAAAGCCCATTAGTCACCTAGTAAATGGCCTTTACACTGATAATGGCTTTTACCATCAAGCTAATAACTTCCATGATATTCATGAATTATTCTGAAACCAGCCGAGAAGGTAGCTAATACCATAATTCATGGTAGTGAATTTCAAAGTTGAATTATACATTGTGTAAAAGAAAAACAAAATCATTTTGTCCTGTTTCTTCCAGAATTCAATTTCACTGGTTTTAATAGATTGGGAAGGGAGAAATAGCTCCTCCTTGTTCCCTTTATCTACAGCATGCACAATTTTGTACACCTCAATCATATTACTTCTCATTTGCATGCTTTCTAGATTAAAAAACCCTAAATGTTGCAATATTTTCACACAGCAAAGCTACCCAGAGAATTTCATAGGGTGCTTTAACTTCAAACATCTTTTGATTAAAACTCTTTCTTGATTTGCAACAGACTCAGCCATTAGAGCTGTCTATAACCAGCTACAGTGATCTCAAAACAATGAAAACTTGCATGGTGATGTCATTGTGCAAGTGGAATGATTTACATCACGGGTGTCAAACTCACATCGTCACAGCGGCATCATGTGACATATTGGGACTTTTTCCTCTTTGCTAAACTGGGCATGGGAATGGCCAGTGCATGATGCATCCTGCCCAAGGGCCGGGAGTTTGACAGCCCTGATTTACAGACTTGAATTATGTAAATAATCTCATTTGCATGATGATCTCATCAAACATATATCATCATTTTGCCTACCTTTCCTTTCCTGCAGGTATCCTTGACTGCTGTTGACTCAATTAAGTGTGACATAACCGTGCTGGGCAATCCAGCTCACCAGAAGTACTGTATGCCTTATGTTAAATTCATGGGAAGGAATGGAAGGCTTAGCTTCATTACTTAACAAAGTCTGTTCCAGCTGAATGAGATGTTGTGCCTTTTTAATAATACACAAAGGTTATTAAAATCTGGTGGGAAGGGGAGAAAAGGCTTTTGTGTGAAATATTTGATCTTGCAGAGGTAATATATTGTTTAATGATTTCTGGTAATAAAAAAAAAACCCACTGCAAATGGAAAATTCATTTCATTTTATCTTGTCAGTTTTCTCTATTCTTCAGCTTACTGAACGGAATATAATTGAGAGCTGCAGTAAAAGTCTGCTGAAACTCAAGTCCATCTGTTATTGCTGAAAAACAATATTTATTGTTGTGTCTAAGGGTGAGGGTATGAGATCTGTGTGAAAGTTTTCCCAGGGTTATTTGAAGCGTCAAGTGACTTTGTAGTGGAGGCTTCTTCAAAAGTTAGGGGTTCCTTGGTGATCTCTGAGCTTGATTGTTTTCTTGTAGATGTTTCATTAGCCAAACTAGGTAACATCAATCGTGCTAGATGTTACCTAGTTTGGGTAATTGAAATGTCTGCAAGAAAACAACCAAGTTCAGTGAGCACCAAGAACCCCTCATTTCAACCCTGAGCAACAAATATTCTCTTTTATTTTTCAGAAGTTGAAGTTTGCTATATGATGATTGTGCAGCCATACCTACTGAGGCACAATAACAATTGTCTGTGTAAAATTCCTGCAGGATTCCTTCCATCCAAGGATTTTGATCCACTTACTGACCAAGTCTTGAATCTGTCAGCCATCAGGATTTAAGAATTAAAATGGGGGAAACCTGTATGGCCTTTCCCACTCAGCCCCTGGCTCTACTGCTACTTTTGCAACCAGAGAATGTTGTGATATCCTGTTTTTTGGTTCTCTGAAGCTAGCAGGCCCTCTGTATAGGCCGCAGGGGTCTTCAAACTTGACAGCTTTAAGACTTGTGGACTTCAACTCCCAGAATTCCTCCTCCAGTCATCTTAACTCAGGAATTCTGGGAGTTGAAGTCCACAAGTCTTAAACTTCCCAAGTTTGAAGACCCTTGGATAGGGATTCGTATTTGCATGCTAAAGATTGCTCTCATTTCCCCCCGTCTATAGATTTTTTCTGTGTTCTGTTCTTAGTGCCTGTTTGTAAATATGTAAAATACTTCAAACATTTCTCACCCTTATTCCATCCTTAACAACAGACATTCCAGTCTCAATTGTGATCTTAATCAAGGACTTTATTAAATCAATATGCTGCTTGAGTAAAAAGTCCCAGCGACTTAGGCTAGTTTACAAATTATTCAAAACATTTAAAAACATATAGCAGGATAAGAAACACAAAATCAGGAAACAAGATGGTAGAGAAACAAATCTGAATGTGGATGAAAGAAGGGGTGTCAGTTGTCTTCACCTACAAACGTGGTTGAAAAGGGACATCTTCAGGGCCTTTTGAAACCCCAGTAGGGTGGAGCCCCATTCTAGCCCATGAAAGATAAGTTGCTTGATTCTATGCTAATTATTCTTTGTGTGAGACAGGGACAGGAGATTTCTGCCTCTCTATCTTTGGAATGATGGATTTTTGTGAAGAGCAGTTTCCCAGGAAGGAAGGAGCACATTCCAAGGGTGTGTGTGTGTAAGACAAAAGGTAGCACATGTCAGAGCTAGATAGAAGATAGAGGGAAGGAGTAAGGATAGCCACTCACCTGTCATCAAGGGACTGAATAGATAGTTTTCTGTGCTTTTCTGTTGTGGAAAATTCACTTTTGAGGTTTAAGTTTAACGGTCAGTAGGTACTTTCCTTAAATGTGATGTGCTTATCCTGACTTTGCAAATTGCAGTTTGTTATTGAGGACTATTATCTACAAAATTCATCAAATCAAATTCAACATATAAATTCAGTCCAAGTTTATCAAATGAATGGCAAAGGTTACCGTCAAAGGTTACCAGCAGAAATTTTTTTAGTACCAAGGAGCTTTACAAATCAAGAGTCATGAATTGAGATTGTTCCAGCATCAAATCCTGTCAACTATTCAAGAATTGAAGACTAACATTGAAGAATAGAAGAGAATACTTTATTGGGGTAGAATATCTTATTGGCCAAGTATGACTAGACACACAAGGAATTTGGCTCTCGGTTATAAATGTAAAATAACAACATAATAATAATCTTAATAACAAAGGACAATAATCATAATAATGATACAATAGAGAAAGTAGTGGAACAAATGAGAAGGATAAAAGTAAGATAGCCAAACTACATGGTTAGATATCCCAAAGCATAAGACAGTGCTATGGGAATTAGGTGTTTAGCAAAGTGAGGGAAAAAATCTGTCTCGGAGTCTAGTTGTTTTGGCATGCAGTGCTCTATAGTGGCATCCTGAGGGTAGGAGTTGAAATAGTTTATGTTCAGGATGTGATGGGTCTGCAGTCTATGGAGATTCTCAGTCATCCTGGTCATGGTTGTCTCAAAGGTGCTTTTTCAAGAGGCAACTGGACTTTCTGGTTTTTCTTTGAAGATGTTTTGCTTCACATCTAAGAAGCTTCTTCAGCTCTCAGAGCTGAAGGGGTCTGTATGGTGGTTTGACATTGAAATGAGACACAGGGAACTGTCTCTGAGA